GTCTGTGCTGTCTTTTTTTCTGATTTAAACTTCCCCTTTGTCAGTTAGTTGAGAAGTCAAAACTACAACATTGAGTGATGGTATCAGACAAATTATGTATAGATGTCCTACACTTTTGCAGTATCGTGGAAAAAAGCCATAGAAGGACCTTCATTCTTCATCAAGCATCTGAAGGGTAGGTATGTTTGTACACAAAGGCAGCTGCCAGACAGTAAGAAGTTTTTCTGTGGCTGTGTGGCAAAGGCTTAAACTCATATTCTTCTTCTAAGCTGCCATCTGCAAGGCTGCACAAATAAAGTTAGTAGATAAGGCAGGAGAAATTTTAGACTTGAGTCAATATTCTAAGAGTTAATGCAAGCCTCTGCTTGCTCTATTTTACTCTTCAACGTATGATCAAGCTTCCCTTCCTGGCCAGAAAAGCAATTCTGTTTAAGCACTGTAGTTTAGTGGCCTTCCAGACTAATGACCTCACCAGGGCTTCTCAGACAAATTCTGGGTTAATAAAGGACAGTCAGCTGCAACATTCAGGACATTTCCCCAGCAAGTGGGATCCAACTTTATTTAGGCTATCATCTTTCAGGCATAGCATACCCCTTCTCTAGGGAAATGAGTAATAAAAATGTAGGCGAGCAAGCTTACAGTATATGCAACTGCAGAAGAAGGCAATAAACATCCTCTACCCTGTCACTCCAAAGCATGGCACACGCAGTAGTCTCTCTCAGCTAAGTTAATTATATAAACAATTTGTGTCTCAAGGGGAAGTAATTGCATGGTACCTCATAGATGGTGTGAACAGACAAGAGAAAGTAATCACATCATAAGACTTTATAGTCTGTGTCTGAGCTCAGAAGATGACAGACTTCAGCAGCAGCAAAAAGGTTCTTGTTCCATGCTCTGTTATTGATCTTTAGGCATTTAATAATAGCAAAAAATAATTAAGCACTGCAACTTCTATACACCTCTACTTCAGATCCTTGTGAGACTTGCTGCTAACTCTTTTATCAGGCTGTCCCCCAGTAAGATAGTTCCTGCAATTCTAGGTTCTTAAATTAGAGATTATACTACTTGGACATCAGTGAAAAACCTTTGTTGGGAAAAGCAGCTAAAAGCACTAATTAAAAATAATAAAACACCATCACCAAAAAGCACTGCCATCTAATATGCTGAGAAGCCCAAGACTGCAGAATTTAAGGATCTCACATGCACAGAAGCATGTAGAAACCCACGAAAAAGCAGAAATAAGCTCAGAAGGACCACATGTACAAGGACTACAGGATTATGGAAAGGTGTATGACATACTTTGGCTAAGAGGCCATTACAAACTTCAATTAATTTAGTTAAGTTGGATTTCCTGGTTTGTATTTTCATTTTGGCAGTGACTTTCATCTTAATTCCAATAAACTGTTGACACCTACATGGGTGTGTGTTTTTGTTTTTTGGTTTTTTGGTTTTGTTTTGGTTTTTTGTTTGTTTTTTTTTGTGGTGGTGGCTGCATTCAATTCCCAGTTCAGGAGCAGCCTGCTAAAAGTGGTCAGTAAATGAATAAAATTAAGGCTGCTGGAGAAAGCAGCAGACTATCAATGCAGACTTAAAAAAAACCAACAACAAGGCTTCATGCTAAGTCTTTTTTGTGTGTAAAAGGAAAGACTGGATGGAACAAATACATCTTTTGTTCTAGTGCATGCCAACTTCTAGTTCAGTTTTTCACTCATTGCCACCTCAGCACCTTGAAAGTTGCTGTGTTTGTGTAACCACAGTTAGGAAAAATTTTCCAGCTCCACTATACAGCATTCCTATTCCCTTAGAGCACAGGAATGTGCAGGCTAGATATGAAGTAAACAAATAAAAGAGAAAAGACCTTCAAGACTAGATATTTTCAGTGGAAAGTGGCAGAAAGCTCACGTTAGCAGAAGCCAAGCTCACACAACTGACAAAAGCAAGGAACTTGAAAAATGCTGGCTGGTCAGGCAGGTGTCAGCCAGCATCCACCTTCTGCATCTCAGTGACAGCGCTATGAAAAACATCACGACCCAGGCAGCTACAGTCAGGTACAGACAGCAGTTCAATTAACCTGCACAACAGGAAGCCTAATGAAAGGATCCGTATTTGGATGAACGCTGACTGTCTGCAAAGTCCTAACAGTACACACAGCAAACATTCATTAGTAAGGTGGTAAAAACCAGGAGGGGAAATTGCACTCTAGCAGAGCTCTGATCTGCAAGGTGCTAACTAAGAACATCACTCAGAATCAGTAGGAGCACAAAGCATGCCTTGATCTGTCCTTAAAAGAGCATCTCTGAGATGCTCAACTTTTCTCAGGTCTTCTAGAAGATTCTTTAAAGGAAAGGAATGAAGGCCCTGTTTTCCCGTGCCTTACAAAGAAGGCTGCATACAGGGCACTAACAGTAAGTCTTGTTTTTTTTTTGTTTTTACAACAGGAGTTACTCCTATCTAAGTGTTGGCTTCAGAGCTCCCACTCCTCCCACTAAACTCTTCAGATAAGGGGTGAGGAAGCCACTTACAGCTTGACACTATTAAAATACTAAGAGTTTAATATGACTTAGCCCCAAATAATTCTCCCATAGCTTCTAAGTGAAAAAAATACTGCTGAAGAAAATAAACATCAGTAACTTTAAAAGATAATTGGATCTTACATCCAATGTCATGGGAAAACAGCTGTTGGAAAGATACCTCATAAGAAGAAGACACAGAAAAAGAAGGCCTCAAGCAGGAGCCAAGGTTCATTTTCTGACAAAAAGACAGAAATTAGAGAAATTATACTGTATATTACTCCTCCTATCCCGTATGTTTTGGAAGAACTGATCACAAAGGGCATCTTCCTAAAGTGATAAACTTAAGACCAAGAAAGAGAAGTCCAATTTCTATCTAAATGGCAAAATTAAATATGGCCTAGCAGCTGTGGTGCAACCTAAGCTGTTGTTAAATCTGTGTTTGCCTCTACAGCTGCATGTTCGTGCAGCTTAGGACATAACAGATATTTACACACGCTGCCAGTGATCTCTGGCACCCCTTTCCATAAGTACCAACCTCCCTGAGCTCTACATCACTACCACAAAGATGACATAGGTAGTTCACTTCCTTCTTCTGGCTATAGCAGATATTAATGTTCCACTTTCATAGCCATTTCCAGGCTTCTCTGTATCAGAAAACTATGTAAATGACAACTAGTTACACGCTTCAGTCAAGAAACAGTGTTAAGAGCTACATCTGGAATCCTAATTCTGCTTCCCATCACAAGTTGCTGATTACCACAATCCTTTATTATATCACTATGTGATATTCTCAAAGCATCAGAGAATACATTGTTTTTTTCCCCTACAACTATACAATAGTTGCTGTGTTAGTGGCAGGGACTATTTCCATCTATCCCATCTACAAACTTTGCCTCCAACATCAAGAGGCATTCAAAGGTCTCCAGATCCATTTGATGTTAATTCTGAATTGCTCTAGAACAAAAGTTTTTCTTTCCTGAAACAGGTCAAGTCTGTAGGAGTCTACACCAGAGCTTTAGGAACAGTGAGCAAAACAACACAACAATCAACTATTAGAGCTGCATTACTGAAACAGTTTAATCTATGAATGCCCAAGAAAATGTGTGAGCCAAGGCTTTGCGAGATGCAGGATACTGGTGGCCTTCCAACCTTCAGAGAGAAGCAGGAGATTTTTGGGCATCGTCCCAAGGTTTCTAAGCACTTGACTCCATATCCACAGTGTTTAGCAAATTAATTATTTCAAGTCCATACCATACAATTTCACATATACTGAAAAACAAAGTGTTAGACTGACCTGTGAAACCAATTTTCCAGCAAAACAGCTGGAACTTAAAGCCTCCCTGAGAGATGTGTTCATGCAAGTTACCCAAAAGAAAAGTCAAGTCTTTGGTTTGAATGAAATAGAAGAAGTATCTGTGATGTTGAAACTCAGCTACATCACAGGAGTGTCAAGGTGCTTGGGCAACCAGCTCACCCGACAGGGAACTGTGCACATCTCTTGGGTCTGAGTGGAAAGCAGCAGAGGGTCAGGAGGACTTTGACACACACACACACACACACACACACACACACCCCTATCACTAACAGGCTACCGGACTGGGCCAGCAGTTACAACCAAAGCCAACAGTCACAGTGTTAAGTGACAGCCCTACCCGTCACAGTGTTTTTTGTTTTGCTTTTGGCCGGTTGTTTTTAAACATTCAATGTCTCAAGTTTTCCTTCACAAGGTTACCAGCTGGTGGGAGTCATCTGCAACCAGACTGCTATCTGGCAACATACAAACAGCCTGGCAGAAAAATAAAGCTCTCAGTTGCACAGATTTCTGTTTTCTCTTCCCCTTGCACAAATAAAACCAATTATAAAATCAGAGAGTACTTGAAGAAATTAAAGCAACTCTCAGAAAAAACCCACAGAAATACAGAGCTCAGCATCCCTCCCCAATTACAAACACCAGCACCACACCAGAACCATTAACTCTGAAATTTCTGATGATCAAAGCTACAGACTTATTTACCTCCAGATTCCTGTTCACTGTGCAGACTCTTACATGTAGTATCCAAGCTGGGGTAGCAAAAGCCATCCACACATCACCAGGCAAATACAAACCATGCAGCAGGGGCAAGAAGGGGATGCAGAGTTCTTAAGAATTGTATGGGAACAGAACAGAGCACACGGCCCACATCTTTTGTACAATTCACGGAAATAAGCTCTAAAGGATCAACAGTATTTGCTTTCTTGGAAAGAGGGGAATGGTTCCCGAAACCATTCTGCAAGATAAACCCTGATGCCAAATAGACCTCTGGGATGTGAGGATATGATGGGAGACAACAGCTAGACACACTTACCCCTGCCCTTTATTTTCATTGCTACTATTTTGTGTAGCTAACCCACATTCTCCTCTTTCACATCCCAGCCAGCAAAGCCTTGCTGAGCAACTCCTCTAAGGGTTCAGCTGCCAGAAGCACAAGGTGCTGCAGTTACTTTGCATTTTTCATTAAATTAGAAAAAATTTATTTTTCAATAAAGAAAGTAACATTCAGAATATGAAAATCCCCCAGTATAACACAGAAAGAGCAAATGATATTTCAAGTCTTTTCATACCCTCTCAAAAATCCTGAGGCAGGACAAGACTTCTGTGCCTCATTTGCGAACAGAAGGTTAGAAATATTTGTCCCATATTGCTTTCCTCACTCACAGCAAAACTGAGCACCAAAATTCAGACTAAACAAAGCAATCTGCCTCAGGACCAGGTACAGTTTGGGGTTTTTTTTGTACTGTACAAGCTGAGAAAACTACATTAAGATGATACCAAGAGACTGACAATCCTGCCTCCAAGGAAACAGCATCTGTTCAGAGACAAGAGCCAGTCCAATGGGTCCTACCTACCTAAGCATGGCTAGCTCCAGAAAGCCCATAGCCTGCCCAGCAGGCTGCTACCAGTTGGCTCTCTGTCCCCTGAGAGGTAAAATGGAATTTAGAAGACATAGAGGAAGGTAGGGGCATTTACAATACGTTCAACTGTCTCGTTTGATGTTTCTGCTTCCTCTAACACATTTTCAATTTTTATCTCTCTTTTGAGAGCCTCCAGAGATACAGCCTCTGGAGTTGTCATGCTTTACCTTGTTTTTCTTCACCTGACATTCACTGGGATGACCTTGTTGAAATTACTCAACTACACAAGCTCTACTGCCAGCAATACAGCCCTTACCATTATTAAGAAAAACCTATTTCTAAGCAGTTAGCAGATCCACTCTCAAAAGAAGCATCACATTCCTAAAGACCATGCTTCACATACTATCATTCAGAAATTAAAAGAAACATTGTTTTGGTGCGAAAGAATATTGGTGTACATATGCCCTGCTGCTTGGTACCAGAAGCAGACAGCAATCCATCTGTATTTCCCAGGTCCTTGAAGACCTTACCAAGGAACAAACATGGGAGCAAGGTTGGTTCCTGCAGCACTAAAACATTTGCTAAATTAAGCTGTGGAACAAGGATCCCTTTAGGAGATGACAATGCCTGAACACAACTGTGCAGAAACACAGATTTGCAGAGACCCACAAAATACCAACAGAAAGGGCTCCAACTGACTCATCCGTATTTTTGTGAGGGCAAGAGGGCAGAAAGGGACTCTTCGGGCATGTCAAATAAAAGAGTTTTCTTGCAAGCTGGTTGTAAATCCAGAGTCTGAAACAGCTATATTCAGAATATATTTTCTTTAGGCAAAGGGGAACCAACACTAACCCTCTCCGAGGCTGGAGATCTCCAAGCCAAAGCTAGCCAGCAAGCAGAGATGATCAGATGAACAAAATGGATTTGGTAAGCCATTTGCCAGCAACAGGACGTCTTCAGAGAGAAGGGAAAGGCGGCCAAGCAGCTTTAGGACTCCATCTTGGTACAGCCTGCGACCTGATAAAGTGGAAGGAAACAGCAGCTGTAGACTGATGCTGCAGGTAATCTCTACAGACTTGCAGAAAGATGCTTGTCAGTGGTTTCCAATCCTTTCCCTGATGAAGAAAGACAACCTGCACAAACACTGAATGCACTTTTGAGCCTGGATATGAAAGCAGTGAGCATCCTATAATGCTGCAGTTCAATGGTTTTGTATGTTTGCAGGCACAAAAAATCCAGTATATGCTAAATGCACAAGGTAGTTGTTTACAGTGGAATGAAAGGAACTTCCCGTAAGTCCTGAAGATAGTTTCAAATTCCCCATTGAGCAGGAATTAATTTTCTTCGTTTCTAACCTCCTCCCCAAAGCTGATCCTGATATAATCCAAAACCAGTTCCAAGGCAGTTCCTGGATGCATTTACATGCAGTCTTCCATCATCCTAACTCCCATTCCAGGTAGTAGAGATGTGCTGGCATTTTAACAAGAGTCACCTCCTTCAAAGGAGGACGTGTGCTCTCAGTCAGATCTAAAGTCCAAGCCTTGAACTAAGGACTCAGCACTGCTTATTACCAGGAGCACAAATAGTTAAGCAAAGGAAGAAGAATGTATTCTGCTCTGGCTTCCTTGGAAGTCTATATGAACCTTACCTGAGCAGCTTCAGTTTTTCCAAAAGGAAGACAAACACTGTCTTCTCAAGATATCTGAGCATATGTTGCTTCTGCTTTGTGCATCACCTCAGTCAAAGTTACACCCTATATATCTACCCCAGATTATTAAAATGCTCTATCCACCACAGAGCTAAACTATGTTACACCTCACAGCCCTCTTCCAACAGCATAGGGACAAACCCTGCACTGGCACACTCACCTCCTCTGTTTCCATTCATCACAGGCTCTGCTGAGTAGAAGATATAATCAACAGTGGCACCAAGCCCCATGGGCATGGTTGTGACCTCTGGGCGTCCCCTGTGTGGCAGGAAATGGCTGTAGACAGAGGTCAGGTTGAGGCCGTGCCGGATAACACCTGCAGACCTGCAAGTGAACAGCCAGAACTTACCAAGAAAGGAAACAGGATGATGCAGTGTTCAGTGTTGCAGTACAAAGCTCAAAGTCCCCATGCTGATGTCACAGGTGAAGTTGGAAGTTCCCTTACTGATACAACTCTCCAAACTATTTCTGAGTTTGCAAACACGTACACAGAAAGACAGTTGGAATTATGTACTCCTCTTGCACAAAGCAGACCACGAGCTTACCTCATATCCAATACCCAGTCCTGTCCACCCCTTTCACTCTTGAGCTCATCGACCCAATGGTGCCAGAATATCACCTAGTTGCTGGGATCTCAGTGGACCTTCACAATTATTTCAGTCTTTACTTCAAACAGATTTTCAGTGCTGCAGAAAGCGAAACATGGAGGCCACAGAAGGTGCCTCAAATTACCTTGGGATGAACATCTGGAGATCAGGGTCATTCACTGGAGCAGTGTTCTTGGGCCAGTATGGAGGGGGGTCTGCAAAGAAGTAGAGAGATTCCAGACAGATGTACATAAATGCAGCCTACAGAAGAGTTTGAAACCCAAGGTACCTAAGAAACACTGTCTGCTGCAGTAAGACTATACTCTGATCTCTTAAGGAATCAATTAATAATCATACAGCCACAGAATGCTACTTTTCTGTCTTCCCTTTTTGTACCAGGGGTTACCTCCAGCAGTTTTTCATTGCTATACAGCTAGGAGAGTTGTGAGGTGAAAAAATACCCCATTAATACCTGGTTTAGCATCTGTCACACCTTCCAAGAAGACCAGCTCTGGTGGTCGTTCACAAGCAACATCACAAAAATGGAACTGGAGCAGGAAGTCTCGGCTGTACTTACGTCTGCCTGCAGACAGAAATACGATTTAAGAAAATAAAATATCTGCAGCAAAATCACATTTACAGCAAGTTTCATACCAAGCACCCTTACACCATGTCAACAGGAGTCAGTAAACACAGCAGTAACTGTACTCTGTTCTATTCCTTTAGCCAATGCATCCATCATGGTCAGCACCTTGATGAGACAAATTAAGAATGTTTCCTCTGAAGCACTGTAAGTTCAAGGGATTTTTAAGCAGATCAGTGAGCTCGCAACTTAAGGAAACTCAAGTCTGCCTAAAAAGAAAAAACAGTTCTGCAAATTAGGTTGAATACAAATTTTATATTCAGACTTCCAACAAAAACTATTCAGTGTGGCCTCATTTTTTAGAATCCACTTTAGAAATAGTAGAGAACAATTACTGTTTTTAAGTGGACTCTTGGCATTTTCTAATTCCGGCATGCAATCAGTACCCAAAATTGCTCTTACAAATACCTGCAGTTGAAAGCTATGGATGCCAAATATCAGTTACAACTGCACAAAAGCTCAAGCCTGAGAATATAAAAGATATGTGGAGCAATGGTTACCTGGAATCCTCAGCTGCAGGCTAGAGAAATATTGCAGATACTGGGCTACAGTGACAGACTCCAGAAAAACTAAATTTAATTCAAATACCAAGGAAAAGCACAGACGAATAGAATTTGTTGCTGACTGCCTCATATAACACATGCATTAGCTACTGTGGGAGACAGCAAGGCCCACAGACTCTCAATCCACAGCAAGCTCATATACTCAGCACACACTAGAGCTCACCCTGTTTCTTTGGCTGGCACACAGTAACATACTGGCAGTTGTCTGTTACACCCAGTGAGCTCGGCCACAGCGGGGACAGCAGTTTCCGAGAATGCAGCTGTTGGGAAAGGTCTTCCTGACCAGACACCTGCAAAGAGGCAACAATCAGCAGAGGAAAACATCAGCAACACACAACAGAACTTCCGCAAGCTATAGACAACATATGTATATGCATTCACCAAGAGCAAAACAAGAAAGTGCCCTCACAGTGGCAGTGCAGTGGGGCATGGATTCAATTAACTAGAAGTCACCATACAGAACATACTTTGTGGACATGTGTTGTTGAATTGATAATTCTGCATGAAAGCCAAAGACATATCTAAGCATGGATATAAATTAACAGGTAGCCACTTGAAGAGTCCAGCATAGGTAACCATTTCATGGGCAAAACTGGTTTCACATCAAACACCTACAAAAATTTCAGGTTGCGTTGGTGGATTTGTGCTCCCCTACACTTCCAGTCACCCAGCAACAGAAATCCCACAGCAAGGGAAAACCAGGGTGTGAGATGAAGTAACTCTTATAACTGGTCTGGCTCAAAAGAAACAAAAAAAGCAGTGTTGGAAGCAACATGCACACATTTTTCTACTTCTTTCCTCAGCACTGCTGGAGGCATTGGGGATGAGTCCTGAATAATTAAGTTTAATACTGGGACTCTTTCTTGTAAGAGGAAGAATACAGCCTTGCTTTTCTCCAGCAGCGCGCAGTAAAGAGCCACCCCATCCCAGTTTTGCCTGGCACCTACCTTCCAGGCTGGCATTCCCTGGTAGGAAAGTTGACCATTCCGGATGAATTTGTAAAGCGGAGAGTCAGGTACAGAGTTCAGGTCTCCACACAGGATGACAGGATAGTACTGACCTTCAGCGGTTTTTGCAATCTTGTCGATCTCTGCTAGGAGCAAGGCCATCTGGGCAAGTTTGATATCTCCCCGCCGGGGATTGAACAACACGTGTGTGTTGGCGACACACAAAGGACTGACTGCCTTCAGATCAAGACCCTCTGGGAGCAGGGGCTGCAGCAGAAGCACCAAACCCACATTATCCCGATTGAGGACATCCAGGCCAGGCCGGAAATACTCGATGGGGCTGACGGTGATTAGCTGGAATCTGCTTTGCTTGTAGCACACTGCGCAGCCATCAGTCTTTCTCCCAGTTCTCCGTTTATAGAAGCAAGCAAAGCCTGAAGAGAAACCATCATCCATTAAAAAGTTAATCTGGTTGCTACCTCAAGCTCTCATTCCATTCAAATTCAGCAAGTTAGTATAGCAGACTTGTAGAAGAGGTACCTGCTATGATTTGGAAGAACACAATTCAATCCAGAAGGACTGCCCAGAAGGATTATTTCTCCAACCCCTATGCATTCCAACTGTGTTAATTTTCAGCCTGGTTTCTACAAAAGATCTAGGCTCTAACTACAAAAAAAATCAACCGCCATCTGCCAGTAAACAACTCTACTTGTAAGGCACTGGTTGCTTAGTAACATAGCATTTTACAGCCCCTATCAGCATTCCCCTAAGCCTCAGTTCTCTCTAGCAATAAGCAGTGCTAGGGCACATAAGAGAAGTGCTTTTCTTCCTTCAGCCACAATACTTTCTGCCATACAGTTACTCCTAGTTATATACAGTTACTCTTAGTTATTCTAACATACAGTTACAATGCTCTGGGTGCAGCATTATACCCAATTCTGTCCCAGTAATCACCATCTATAATTTATAATCATGTCTTTTTTCTCTCCTTGTCCTCCTAGGACAGATTTGTTACTCTGATCTCTCAAATTGAAAAGTCAGTTACAAATGAAAGGGTAAAGGTCCAGGCAGATAGCTCAGAAGTGAGGCCAGCAGCTCAAATAAAAAGGAAGAGTTCTTTCGAGACTGAATGCTTTGAAGACTAAGAGGGAAGCACTGCTCAGTCAGGCCATGAGCTGGGCATACAGACACGTAAAAGCAGGACATACCCATCTTCACGAACGCTGGTTCTAGCTGCTCCCTGTAATGGTTCTCTTGCACCTCCTGTAGACACAGAACCTGGAAGGAAGTCAGAGACCTCACTTGCTCCAACAGTATTTGCCAGTTACCTTGTTTCAGGGAAGGAAGAAAGTGCAAAAGTATGCTGGCATACTAACCCTGCAATAGAAAGGCCACGATTGCAACTGTGTCCTGTAATTCCCACCTAGAGAGTGATAACTTTCTGGGTAGCATTAGTTTATCAGTGATGAGGTGAAAGGTCATTCATCATGCAAAGAGAGTTCACAGAGAAAGTCGTGAAGTCCTCTTTTATGTGAGCCCCCTCTTCTGTGCTGCCTTATAAACTTAGCCCTTCCCCCAAAAAATACATTACTCTTCTTCCTTCACTTCTGCTGTTTATGAAGTTAACCTCTGTTAGCTAAGTATTACTAAATGCTAAAAAACACAGTCAAAACAAGAAAGGCAGCAAAAAAAATGTATACACAAGGCCTCATTAAGTCTCAGAGGAATCAGCATTCAGCTACCAGGTAGATACCCTCTTCCTACTACTTTCCTCACCCTTAAAGAAAAGAAGGAAAAAAAAAAAAAAAAACTGCCACAATGCAATTAGATCAAACAAAAAATTCAAATTCTAGTGATACTAACATGTAAGGGGCTTAAATCATACTCACATCAGGATCCCAATGTTGGATCTCCTGCAAAATATTTGGAAGGCGGTAGTCCCAGTTCAGGATGTCTGGATGACAGTGCAGGTAAAGAGCATGGCCCTGTTCCACCAGGTCCTGGGCAAGGATGTTGTAAGACATGACACGAAATTCAAAGATAGGATTTTTTTTTGAGCCCAATTCTAGCTCACAAGGCTGGACAGAAAGATCCTCCCAGTCTCTCCATAAAATCTCTAATAAATAAAAGGAAAAAAAAAAAAAGAGAAAGCCAAATTACAGCCATTCTAGATACCCTCCAGATTTTTTTTTTCCTCTGGGACACAGAATATCAATTCCCTAAGCTCAGATAATTAAGCCTCTAACCTAATTCTCATCCACTCTGGGTTTCAGATGCTTTATTTGGATTCCTTTGGTTAGTTGCCACTGAGGATGAGGTAACAGAAGACCACAGTTGAGCATATAGAAAAACTCAACAAGCTTTTGGGAGCTTTCTCAGGCACGGCTCCTGGGAAGTAATGTATCAATATTCAGAAAGCCCACTGGCACAGACACTTCTAGCTGTGATCAGCTTGTCCTAGGCAAAACCTGACTTCATAGCTTTCACTAGCAGATCTTGTCAGTTCTGTATGGTCTGATACAATCAGTGTTTCCCTGATAGCAAGCCCAGACCTACTCCCCTCAGAAACAAAAACCTAACCAGGTTCTCTACAATACAAATTCCTAAAATTAGATCCAGAGCTGTTGACACTGACCATGGTAGGGTACTTCTGCTGGGAGAGGACAGAATTGCACAGCATCCTGAGCAGGCCAGGCAGGGAGCTCCGTTGGCACCATCTCTGTGCCACCTGTTAAACTCCACGCCAACACCGCCGGGTCTTCATTCAGCCCTTCTACACTGATAGTGGCACAGCCAGCTATCTGGGGATCCGCTTGTGGCACCAGAGCTGCCCAAGGTGCACTGCCTACTACAGCCACTGTTTCTTCTGCTGGTAATTTTTCCAGTTTAGTCTCTGCATGATCTTGCAGTTCTGAAGAAGTCAAGGCACACAGCTCTGTGAGCTGCTGACTGGCACACCACACGACTTCCGGAGCTGAATTCAGCTCACTAAGGCTACTCATCAATAGTTCTGAACCTTCTAACCAGGTGCTGGTGGATGCAGCCGATACGTTTCCCACTACTGGCGCACTCTCACTGGCTGATGAACTCCCCACTCCTTCCTCCAGCCACTGCTGGAGCAGGGCTTCTCGCTCTTCTTGGACCAACTTTCCTCTGGTTGCAGCAAAGATGTCTTCTATCTGGGTGGACGTGCTCTTCGCCAGAAGCACATTCTTTCGACACGTAAAGAAAGCATCTGCCATTAAAAAAACACACACACACACAAAAAAACATAAAACAGATGAATATGCTTTACCATTCATTATTTCTTTCTCCAGTGAATTTGCTGTTGTATATAACCATTCAGTGTAGCAACCCAAACAAATGACTTCTCTGAAGAAAAACAGTTACAATCTGAGTAACTTACCCTGCCTCTTAATGTTAGACCACAGTCTATAGCTAGCTTTTAGTCAAAGTCATTGAAACTGTACAGCACAACAATGCCTTTACCAACCTGACTAAGTGCAATTCTCGCTCAGGCAGCACCACAGCCAGTCAGCCAAGCCGGAATGTGCTGTGGCAGTTGGACCTGTTCTCAAATACACATCTGTACAAGTTAGCTGATGGGGTGCATGGGTTAAGAAGCCAAGCTTTGAAGGTGATGACTTGGAACAAGTTTCTTTACAGAAATTTGGTAAAATGTACTATTCAGATAAGATGATTAAAAATGGTCACATGTCACAGCAATGTGCTAGAAAAACTGTTCTGTAATTAGAGATGAAAAGTAAAGAAGCAGGGGGACAGATATGAGCAATTAAAAGACTTATTAAAGAGAATATATGCACAGAAGAATTCTCGATAAGAATTAATGGCCACCTGGTAACCGCTATCTGTGATAAATATATATGTATACATAATCTGCTGTTCACACAACACTCTTGAATATTGGTAGTGTAAAGCAGAAAATGACAGGGACTCTTTCTACTTCTATCGACATCAGAAATGACAGTATTGATCTTTTGCTACAAACCATACACAGACACCAGTCCCTGCTGTTAAGCAGGGATTTCTGTTGTCTACAAATCCCCTTTTTTCTGCTGTACCCCTGCAGCAGTCACCCATAGCAGTAATACACAAGGGTCAGCAATAACTGTAGGCTTGTTCTGCTGGTATCTTCTGTGAATGCTTTTTGCGTGCATCAGAAACATAGCACAGAGACCCACAACCCCCCTCTGTACACTTGTAACGAAGCTCACGTTTGTCACAAATACCAGCACTTCACTTCCACACACGGCTATCATAGGAGCTTATAAGGCAAGAGCTGAATGTCGGGGCGGCCAGCCGGTCGCTGTGATCAGCCTGCAGCCATGGCTGCCACAGACGTGAGAACCGGTTCGGGCAGGACGGCTCTACACAAACACAGCACCAGGGCCTGCGAAGCCACAGCCGGATCGGGGAAACCAGGTGAAATCTGCACAGATCCAACTGAAGGTGCTTAAGGGCTACCAGGCCTCACAGCTGGCCGTCTCCGAAGGTCTCCCCGGGACCCGCAGCGCGGCTCCGAGGCAGCACGCTCAGAGCCTCCAAGAACAAAATCCGCGACTTCGAAGCCAGGGTCGGGAGCTGCTTCCAAAACGCCCGCCTCCAACCACAACCGCACGGAGCCGCACACGCGGCGAGCCGCGCCGAACGAGCAGAAAGGGCCGCACCACCTCAGAAGGCGACTCCGGGCAGCACGGGGCCCCTTCCCAGCGCCCAGGCGGCAGAGCTGAGGAAGGACCCGGCGCAGCCTCCACCCGAGGAGCGGAGGCCGCCGAGGGCCCCGCGGCCCGACCCGGCCCCAGGGCGGCGCCTTATGGGAGGCAACGCCGCCGCGTCCGGAGCGCGGCGGAGGGAAGGCCGGGCCCCGCGCGCCCCCCCGGCCGCTTTCCGGCCCCGCAGCCGCCCGCCCGGGGCCGGGTTACCTCGCAGGGCCCGGAGGAGCCGCACCGCCGGCAGCAGCACGTAGCAGAGCACGGTGCCGATCATAGCGCGCGGCGCGGCCCGACCTCCTCCGCCGGCCCGGCCCCAGCTAGGCGACGCGCCGGCCCGGCCCCGCCTCAGCAACGGGCTGACGGCCCGAGCCCCGGCTCCGCGCAGGCACTCACCGCGCCGCGGCCGTCCCCTCGTCCGGCCGTTTCGGGCACGGGTCTCGCCGCGCGCCGGGCCGACCCCGACAGGTCGGGGCAGGCGTGTGGGATGGCCCGGTCGGGGTGGGGCTGCGACCGGGGCCGGGCGCCCGCGGGGCCTGGTGACGGCGCTGACGCCGGGCTGCCGAATGGGTCCGCAATCCGGGAGGGGTGCTTTCAAATGAAAGTTTGCGCTCTGTTCTCCAGAAGCCTTCAAAAGTTGCAACCCCCTGAAAAAGCATCACATAAAGTCCCTTCTGGTCCCAGGCGGTTCGTGATTACAGTTCACTACGTGTCTCGCAAACCTGTACCCACATTAGTCAACATCTCGCAGAGAGCAGGCTGCGTGGACAAACCCCGTTGGCAGCAGGTCGAAGCACCAGCACACCAACGCCTTCTCCTTCTGTGGTTTGCTCACAGCATGTCGCAGCTCTGCAAAACCACTCCATGTGATCAGCTGCAAGCACACTGTGAGCACCTTGTGGTCCTGTGAAGCTGAGGCCTGTCATGCTGAAACCAGACGTTTTCAGGGAAAAAGTCCTGCTTGAGCTACATTTTTAATACTTTGTTTTATTCCACATTTGGCTGTGCACAAAGTAAAAATTGCACTGAGCACCACTGCAGCTCTTTACGACAATTACATATTTTAATGTATCATAGTAATATACAAAATTGGCAAATCTAACTCAGCTAAACTGCATTGTCCATGAAAATCACCTTTGTCATCTGGTAGGGAGCATTTAGATCCTATATCCGTACTGGTTATTGCCTCTCACTTATTACATGTTGGTTTCTGCTTCAAGTTAAAAGCTTCTCATATTTTCAGAATAATGCTTTATGCCACCTCGGGTGTTTCCCCTCCCACTTGGGAAACACACCCAGCACACTTCTGGAGGGTGATCTCAGTAACCCTCTTCCAAACTCCCTTAAAGATGGCTCTTGGGATTAGGTCAACAAGATTCATGCTGTCCCTAACTCTGCACCAGCCAGTGCTACCAGGCTGTGCCTCGGATGGGCCCTAGCTGTTGTTTTATGTTATCATAGTATTATGATAATTATGATATTATGATACATAGTATTATGTTATCATAGTATTATTATCATAGTATTATCATGTATTATGTTATCATATTATGTTATCATTAAGCTTGAAAAAGACCACTAAGACCACGTAGTCCAGCCATCAGCACACCACCACTATGCCCACTAAACCATGTCACTCAGCACCACATCTACACTGTTCTTGAACACCTCCAGTCCCTGGAGGTGGTGATCCCACCACCTCCCGGGCAGTCTGTTCCAATGCATCACCACTCTTTTGGAAAAGAAATTTTTTCCTAATATCCAAACCGAATCTCCCCTGGCACAACTTGTGGCCATTCTCATTTGTCCTATCACTGTAACCTGGGCTTCTTTCAGGTAGTTGTTGAGAGTGATAATGTCTCCCCCGAGCCTCCTCTTCTCCAGACTGAACAATCCCAGTTCCCTCAGCTGCTCCTCATACGGTCTAGTGTCTAAGGTCTATACTGTGATAAGCACAGCAGGTGTCAGTGGCTAGGACCTGAGCTGATGTTACTACGTATATGTCACGGAATAACCTCTGTGCCAAAACTGAGTATGTCTCTGGCAAAGTACAGCAGTTGTCTGCAGTCTCCCATATCTGGCCGCAGTATGAAAACCATCATTGGTGTCTGCCTAAAACAGAGGATGTTCTCCAGAGGAAGGGTTTGTGACAGCAAAGGCAAATTGCCAGGGAATTTAAAACAAAGCTGTTCTTTGAGAGTTCAAAAAGTATCTTCAGGCCCAGCCCACATTAGGATAAGCAGACTGGAATAGAGAAGAATATTGGCCAGAACCACAGACAAGCAAGGATCTGAACTGCCACTGTTGTTTGGCCTATGCGAGAGAAAAATATTTACAAACTTGGCAACAGAATCAAAGCTGATGGAGGTCTGCTTTGGGGTCAAACCTTCCACTGGTTTATGCATCATATTTTGTTTTATAGCCAAATGTGACCCTGCTGTGGCCTCTAACGAGTGGACTAGCTGGGAAGTTTATGTAGAACCTACGGGGGGAAAAAACAGAAAAGATATATATATATAAAACAGAATATTGGTGGGAAGGTTCAGCCTCTACTGCCATACCACCAACAGCTGCCTCTGATGTTGTGGCCAACATAATAAAAGAGGAGGCATTATTTTCAGAGCAGTCTTCATACATAGTGTAGTTTAAATAAACTTCAAAGATTTTGAAGTGCATGCGTCAGTTCTGCTCAGGCTCCATCAGAAATCCTCTTGTGTTACAGCTTTGGATTTCTCCCCTTAGGAAAGGTTTCGGAGTCCTCAGCATAAATTGCACAAAATAATAAGTGTTGAGCCAAATTTGGCACCACCATTACTTGCCCAGACAAATGAATACTTGATTTGAGGCCCCATTAAATGCTGGTATGTTCACAAACCACATGTTATTGAGGAACACACAGGAAAATAGGCAATAAAGAAGTTTGAATCTGTTGAATACTAATAAGGCTAATGCACCCATTTCTTTCTAAGCTCCTTTCTGACTGCAAATGCAGCAGTCTGCCTTTCTCATACAAAGCTGTATAACCTGCAGACCAACCAGAAGGAAGGAGAAGACTCACCAGAGATCTGGCATCACCTTCTGATATTCCTGGGGGTTCTCACAGCCAAAACATCACCTGATCCTGTCCTTGGGTGCTGACACCATCAGAGACCAAACAGCCCTGGTTTCCTGAGAAACCTGGAACACAGAGTTTGGGTGTGAAAGTGAGGTCACAGAATGGCCAGAACAGAGGGGTGATGGTGCTGAGGACAATATAGGGCTCTCCTAACATCCAGCCAGCCCCTACAAAAACAAAACAGGGTTCTCCTGTTTATAAGCAGTACAAATCAAGAATGTCAACCTTACAAATAGTACCATTCCTCTCAAAGGCTTTTAAATTGCAGCTGAACAGCTGTGCTTTGTACAACTGAATTAGAGGAAATGGTGGGGCCTAAAAGGTGGCTGTAAACTTCTCACTGAGGGAGGAGAAAAAGCAAATAAACCTGCAGCTCACTGGCATTGACAAGAAAACCGCCATGGACAAGGACTCTGAGAAGAACACAGGTGCTGTGCTTAGTTATCTACAAGTAGTCAGAAATAGGTAAATCAGCAGGGTCCAACAGGGAATACAGGGAGCACTGTGTCTGTAGACAAGTGAAAGTCTTCCCTTCTGTGACCTGGGCTGCATTGATATGTTACTGCCAAGAAGTGGGGTGCCAGGGGACCCACGCTGCTGATGGCCTGAGATGGCTGCTGCCAGAAGGCTGGTGACAAATCAGACCAGTACCTTGCTTAGAAAATAAAATGCCAGCTGACCAGTACCAGCATTTATACCTCCTGGCAATTATACGCAGCTGCCTTTCATTCCCCATGGAGGATCTAGTAGCTTAGCACTGTGTAAAATGAGGTCCTATTTTAGCCCTCCTTGCTAGGAAAGGTGGGTTGGCTTTGAGAGGCAGACTGGTCCTGGTCTGCACTCTGCTAAGTAGCCTGTTTGTAGTATTTGGGGCTTATTTCCTAGTCTAACCTAACTTTTCTCTCATTAAATTATACTCTAATTTCATCTTAGTCATAGTAGGATGGGACCTGGCTGTTCACCTGAATTATTTTTAAGGTATGGTACAAGGAATGTAGAAGTGAGGATGACCTTGACAGTTTCCTTTCACACTTGAAATTCCTTAGCATATATCAATTAGATTACATCATAGAAGAGAAGGAGAGTGATTTATTACAATTTTCGTCTTACCTGAAGTTGAACCACTATAAGCAGTGATTGTAAGAAAGATGACTTCATTAATTTAGTAGTGATATGCCAAGCATTTTGTAATGCTAGGCAAAAGAGAAGAAAATTTCCTCTTCTTTACCATCCCAGTATAAATTGCCTGTGTGGTATACCAAGGACTTATAAAACACAACAGAGAGAACAATATGGAGTCCAGACAACAGGCACTGCCAGCCTAGCATGAGAAGGGTTTTGCCAGTCTCAGTACATTGTAAATCTCCCATCAAACCATGGTATGAACTCCCCTCCAGGTTCGTGGTTGGTAGAATCTGTGCCTGAAGAAGACTGACCAGAAAGCTGTGTCTGCAGTCCCAATGCCTCAAAAAAAGTGAGAGAGAAAAGAATCTCCAGACTCCTCAGTCTTCACTGCATTGGTTTTGATAATGATCTCTCTCTTGTGAGACCCCCCCCCCCTGGATTGCTGCATTCAGATCTGGGCTCCCCAACATAGGGAGCCTACAGGAAAGCTGGAGAGGGACTCTTTGTCAGGGAGTATAGTGATAGGAGAAGGGATAACTCTTTAAAAGGAAAAGAGGGTAAATTTAGGTTAAATATTAGGAAGAAATTCTTTGCTATATGGAGGGTGAGACCCTGGAACAGGTTGTCCAGAAAACAGATTGTACCCTGGGATGCCCCCATCTTCAAACTCCTGAAAGGTGCTTATAGTGAGAGCAGGGCTGGCCTCTTCTCATTAGTGACAGGTGTCAGGATGAGGGGAAATGGCTTCAAGTTGCACCAGGGTAAGTTTAGGTTTGATATCAGGAAAAACTTATTTACAGAAAGAGTGGTTAAGCACTGGAACAGGCTCCCCAGGAGAGCGGTTGAGTCACCGCCCTTGAATGTGTTTAAAAACTGTTTACATGTGGTGCTCAGGGACATGATTTAGCAGAGGGTTGTTAGAGTTAGGGTAGTATGGTTAGGTCGCAGTTGGATTTGATGACCTTTAAGATCTTTTCCAACCTAAGCAATTCTATGATGCTATGATTCTATGATTCTTGGAAGTGTTCAAGACCAGGTTGGATGGGGCTTTGTACAACCTGGTCTACTGGAATATGTCCCTGCCCATGGCATAGGAGTTGGAACTGTATGATATATAAGGTTCCTTCCAACTCAAACAATTTTATGATGATCATGATTCAATACTGTTTACATTTCTGCTTGAATAACATCTTAACAAGGCAAACATCTGCATCAGTGCTACCTTATACAGTTCCACAGGGATGCTAAGGACCACATCTGGATCTACTTTAGAAGGCTCAGATC